GAACTGGGTGGCCCCAAGGGTTACCCAAGTGTTTTAGAGGAGAGGTTATGGGCAAAATGGGCTAGACCCATTTGGACCCAAAAATTCACCACACGCGCGCGCGCCGCCGCCGCCGTCCGTTCGGTCGGTCGGGCGGGCTGGGTGGACCTGGGCTTGGGGCGCGGTGCAGTGGTGTGGTGGGTTTTGGGCTTTTTCTGTCTAATCTTTTTTGGGCAAAAAACATTTGAATTAATTTATTTTTATATTAAAATAAAATTCCAGAGATCAAATTAAATTAGTTTGGATATTTTGTTCATCCAAACAGGCCCTTCCCGGTTTCAAACAGAAATAAATTGGTTTTGGAATTTAATGCACAACCCAACAGGGCCCTTCCCGTTTACTACCTGTTTGAATTGATTCAAATCTGTTTGAATTCAAAACCCAAAGTATGATTACTGTCAATTCAAAACCAAAGAGCTAACATACCTGTTTAAATTCAAAACCAAGAAGCCACCTTCCACATCTATAAAAGGACCGACCCTCATTGATGTTCAATTCATTTCAAAATTTCGTATTCACCTCTGTTAATTCTTCTTCAATCTGCTGCATTTTATTTTCCGAAAGAAAGAGTGTAAACACTTAGTTCATTGTTGTTCGTAAGGCAAACAGTTAGTAGGCCTACTATTGTTTGTGGTAGATCATTTCATCCTGGGAGATAGACGTCCAAATTCTGAAAGCACCGTGGAGAGGACGAATCTGTCTTAAGGACACAGTGTTAAACACTGGACTTGATCAGAAAAATAATTCGAAGAAATTAAATCAAGTAAGTTATTTAATTACTTTCAGTGTTGTTTTTATTTGTTTATTTATTCAGATTTTAATTTTGTTTTTGTAACAAAATAAAATCTGTTTTGTTTTTTATTTATTTATTTTTATTTCGAGTTTGATTTTTGTAATCAAACATATTCGCTCCTTTACTCTATTTCTTTTATTCTTGTTGTTGTTTTGTAAACAACAGAATTAAATCCTTTTAAATACAGTGAAGATTAATTTAATTCAATCCTCTTTCCAAACCATACTTAAATTAGTTATTTCCAAACGAAAACTGTTAGGAGTAAGCAGCGAATATATCGATATACTTAAACCGATCGAACCGAATCGAACGGAACCGATCTACCTCATTTTAGACGGATGCATAATAACGAGGAGAGGTATACAATTTCTATAACTGCTCTGTTCATAGTTTTAGTAGTTTGAATTATTTTTATATTTTAAGAACCACATGTGATAATACTTTATGTGGATGAGACATGTAATGAAATTTTATTTTTGGATTATCAAAACGTGATTATGTGGATTTTGTGGTCCCTTCAAATTCTCACAGGTTCAGATTTGACTTTAATAGAAGTTCAACCATTTGAGTAACTTTTTCGATGATTATTTTTTGGAGGATGTTTTTAGCAACGAATCTTCTAAAAATTTAAAATTTTATTTTTTTGGATAAAACATGCAGTGATTATAATACTTTTTAAATTTATTGGCTATAATATATTTTTTTTTATGAAATGCACAAATTAAAATATATTAAAAATTTATAAAATTTTAAATCGTTAAACTGAATCTATCTGTTAATGCGTTAATTCACGTCTACCAGATGAACAGACAAATACGAATTAAATTTTACCAATCTAGTAATCTAATCTGACGACGGTTAAGGAATTAGAAGTTTCGTGACCGCGACCAATCGGCGCCCACCACTAAAAGCTACATATACAACCTACATGACCGACGGGTGAGGATACACAGGTCCAAAGAAGCTTTGGGGCTAAGAACCAATTCACTCTGTTTGCCACGACGAAAGGGACCGTGCCCTGTCACACCTAGCTCGCTTCCCCCCCCTCTCTCTCTCCCCTAACCTATCTCACCCAATCAGCACCCATTCATCCAACTTGTTCGATCCTACTCGATCTTACATCCAACTATTTTTTCTTCTATGCCCACTCCAAGCTTCCTTCGATCACATCCATCTTCATTTCATACAACTTATATACCAAACACACACTCATAGATATGTTCATATATATATAGATGAATGTTTGATTCTGTTGAAATTGTTCTACAACTCATTTCTACAAATTCCAATTGATCGAAATCGCCCAAAACAAAATTGGGTTTTTGTCGGGTATCACTTTGCTTTCATTGATTACGAAATCGCCAGTTAATTTCGTGAAATTTGGATTGAGACTTTGTTTTAATTCACTTGGCATTTTAGTTTTTTTGATTGATCTATATATCAGATTAAGGATTGGCTTTTGTGAATTAGGGTTTGATTGTGATTCCAACAAAAGTGAATTTTTCGCGAATCAGCGGAAGCACTGGGGGCGAATCAGTCTCGGCAGAGCCCGTCGGCGGCGGCGGCCGGTTCGGGACTATGGTTTTTTCTTCGCCCTAGGCCTCCTCCTCGTTCCCACACTCTCGAATACCTTCCTCACATGGATTTCGTAAGCCGACACGCCGCTTCTGAATCGTCCAAACCCTCTGAATCTTCTTCATCATCCACCACCTCCTCAGCCCCATCATCTTCTACTCCAAACCCTATCTCACTCGAAGAACAAGAGTACTTGGCTCGGTACATGGTTGTCAAGCATTCGTGGCGAGGCCGGTACAAGAGAATTCTTTGCATATCCAATCTCTCCATCATTACTTTGGACCCTTCCACACTCTCCGTTACCAATTCGTATGATGTCGGGAGAGATTTCGAATCGGCGGCACCGATATTAGGGAGGGATGAGAATTCAATGGAGTTTAATCTCAGTGTGAGGACAGATGGTAAAGGGAAGTTCAAAGCCATTAAACTTTCTTCAAAGTACAGGGCGAGTATTTTGACTGAGCTGCATAGGATTAGATGGAATAGAATTGGTCCTGTTGCAGAATTTCCAGTACTTCATCTCCGGAGAAGGAATTCGGAATGGGTTCCTCTTGTAAGTTACAATTTTTCTTGGCGTTTATCTGTTTTTCAATCTTGTTTTGATAGTAGAAGCTAGTTTGATGATGGGATGCATTGGTGGTCTTCATTCACTTAATAAATAGTTTGAAGCATTACTATGAACAACATGACAATTTAAGAAAGTGAAAATAACTAGAAACTGTAAGGAAGGGATGGTATGATTAACTACTTTTTTTTTTTTTTTTTTTTGATAAGCAAATAATTTGAGCAAAGGCTCCATAAAATGGAGGTGGAACCATGAAAATGCAGAGTGTAGTTTTGATGAGCACGTAAATTATTAATTGGGAATGAGGTTTGGAAAGAGAGTGTATTTTGGTCAATAGTCATTTGAGGTAATAAGGGAGTAATCTAAACATTAATACTTTATCCTTCACAAGGAGAAATGTTTCAGGTATGTTTTAATGATAAATGAGGTCACACACACACACACACACATAACCGAGATATTCATGCTTTAAAAGTTATTTTCACCAGTAGGTGCCTAATTAGATAGCCATAGATGTGTTAGGTAACATGAACATAGAGGGTATCGACATTCTTGTTACAAGATATGCTTTTCTATAAATATGCAACTGAAATCCATGATCATTTGGGTGTCATTAATCATTAATCATAATTTATGAGAATTCTATCTCTCCAAGACAAAAAAAAAAAGAAAAAAAAAGAGTGGAGAATTCTAAGTGTTTTTTGGAGCTTGAAATGGCATTTGAAGTTTTAAAATCTAATTGGAGGAATTAAAACTGTCAGTGAAGAAGAGGAAGTAAGAAAGAAGGGGAAAAAGAGGAAGTCTTTGGACCAAGAGGTCACTAGCCAAAGGAGGAATTCTTAGGTTGCGTTTGGTAGAGTTTTAGAATTATGATTTGAGAATAGGGTTGTATTTGAAGTTTGTGAGTTTTGAAATTATGATTTGAGTGTGAAAAATTTGGTTGGTTATGAGTTTTGCGAAGAGTTTTGAATTGAGTTTGGAATAATTGATTTGACATATGATATTTGATTTAAAAACTTACAATTCATAACCAAACACACAACCCAAAATTCTATTAAAAACTCATAAAATTTTTTAAAAAATTCGGAACATATTTTTTATTTAATATATAAAAAATAACAGGGGCCAATTGCTAAAAAAAAAATAAAAATTTGCATTGTTTCGGACGACTGGCCGGACGTCCGAGAGGACGACTGGGTAGGCCAAATTTCAAAATTCAAATCCTGCCTGAAACGAGTTTTCAAAAGTGGTGTGGAATTAATTTTTGAAAGTTGTAACCAAACACGATACTCAAATATGGGTGTGGAGTCATGATTAGAACTCCACACCAAACACTGGCTTATACTTTCTACCTAAACCTTTAGTCAATAGGAATTTTATTTTCTATTTGATCCTAGGAAGGAGGCATGCTAGAATTAGTAATCAGATTTTGCATTATTACTAAAAGTTAAGGGGAGTGTTATTCACACTCCCTCTTATATCATTCTACACTCCACTTTTGTTTTTAGTTATCAAATTTCCAGTAAAGGCCTTCAATATACACTATACTTTTGTTGGATTTGTAAGCTAAGGGTATATAATTTGCCCATTTATTATATGAGTCAAGGGTAAAGTAGTCTGTTCACTACATAAAATCAAAATGTGGAGTGCAATAGGATTAAGAGGGAGTGCAATAACACTCTCCAAAATTAATTGTGCTTTGTTTTTTAAATTGATTAAATACATTGATGCTTGTATGGTGGTGACTACTGAATGTTATTAACATGTTCCATGGATTTATAGATCCGATGACATGCCAAATTGGCTCCTAGATACCCACATACATTCTTATTACGCATCATATGTGTTGTGGTTTGGCTGATTAAAAATTTGAAGTATATTAGTTCCTAAAGGTTCTATCAGGTATGGCCTGGTCTCCTATATCTATGATCGCCATTTTCTGCATCTATGGGAGATGAAGGACCATACATGAAAAAATGTTAGTTGATTTTTTCTTTAGCAGTATTCGGGACAGTTTGATGGAGATATTTAAATCCATGATAAACAATTTGAAGCCATGGAGATAGTAGGATTGAACTTTTGTTACATTGCCTTATCATTCAATTTTTCTTAAATCGTTTGATATGAGGAAATGCTGAATAAGGGTGCCTTAAATTTATTTACAAATAAAAGTGTCTTGCTTAAATTCACTTATCCAATCTCATAAAATTCGTTGTATGGTGATTGTGCCAATCGCCAATCAATTAACCACTTGGTGCTTGGTCTGGATAAATGAATTGTTTTGCGTTAATAAGCTCTAGTCAATGGAATTATGTCGATCATTTGCCTTTTTGCACTACTCTGCATTAGTAACCTCTGATCAAATGGTTTGTACAGAAAATGAAAATTACTTATGCTGGAGTTGAACTTGTGGACTCAAAATCTGGAGATCTTCGTTGGTGCTTGGATTTTAGAGACATGGATTCCCCTGCAATTATATTTCTCTCTGATGCTTATGGGAAAAAAAATGTTGAGCATGGGGGTTTTGTTCTGTGCCCTTTATATGGAAGAAAATCTAAAGCCTTCCAAGCCGGTTCAGGGACTTCAAACACTGCTATTATATCAAATTTGGTATGCTGGTTCTCTCTGATTTTTGTCAGTTCATAATTCAAAATTTTCCCTTTTTGAAATATATGCAAATCATGTTTTTCCATCTAGTAATAACCTGCAAACACCCCCCATCCCTCAAAGTGCATGCACCCTGCAGGACTATCCATGTTGTATGAATTTGCCTCGTTGCATCATGTTGCTAGACTATCCATGTTGCTGGACCATAAACTACTTTGCATCAATTTGATACTACTAAACACTTTTTGTACAGACAAAAACTGCGAAGTCCATGGTTGGGTTGTCACTATCTGTGGACAGTTCTCAATCACTCACTGCTGCCGAGTATATAAAGAGAAGAGGTAGCTCCATGCTAGTTCTTTATGCACATTTGATTCATTCTTCTTCCTTATTCTGCATCTTTCCTTCCTCGTAATTATACTATTTCATAATTTCTTGAAATTTTTGAACACTTGTACTGTGTATTGAAGCCAAGGAGGCTGTTCGAGCAGAAGAAACTCCTTGTGGGGCTTGGTCTGTGACAAGGTTGCGCTCTGCTGCCCATGGAACATTAAATATTCCGGGATTGAGTTTGGGAGTTGGGCCTAAAGGAGGACTTGGGGAGCAAGGTGATGCTGTATATCGTCAACTCATTCTTACAAGGGTTTCACTTGTTGAAAGGCGACTAGACAACTATGAAGTAAGCAAATGATGTTATATGTTGTAGGCTTCAGAAAGATGCCCAATAAATATGTTTTCCTTATGCATTGCTTTGCATAAATGGAATGAGATTAATCACAAATCCTGATTATTCATTATTACTTGTTAAGGTGAGTGCAAGGTCTAGTATATATGCATGGGGACCTTTTTTTTTCTCTTCATCTTCCGAGGGGCAGGGGAGGGTTGTCTTTTCTTAGCTCTATGAAATCCCAGGGAAAGATCAGAGATGCTCCAATTAAGCTACTATAATCTATGAAATCCGAGGGATTCTCCCAAGAGCAGCAGCATTGCAGTCTATGAAGCACGGGTGCGGGTGCGGGTATGGGTATGGGTACACCAATAAGGCGGATTCTTAAAAAAGTAGGGTACGGGTACGGGTACAGTACGCCAATTTTTTTTTTTCAATTTATAACTAAACATCCAATATACAAATCAAAGTTTCAATATTAAAGCTAAAAAGAGAACAACTTGTCTAAAAGTTATATCATTTTTTTTTTCTTTCTTGATTGTCTAAAACAGGATGCAAAAGAGAGCAAAATCATGACTCAAGGTGAAGGGTGTTGGAAATAAATTACTTAATATTTTCAAAATTGAAAGAAGAATAATAAAGGTTACAATAAATTCTAGCAAAAAATAAAAAATAAAAAAAACCTCGCCGTACCCATGTCGTACATTTTTGGAGTACCCGTGCTTCATAGATTGTAGTCCAAGGGTAGATGGATCTAACTATCATGTTAAGTTTTGAAGGTCTTTCTGTTAGGCATTGTCCCATTTCATGTTGATCAGATCTAGTGTCGCTCACCACTGTGTAGTTATTATACACATGGAATTGCATACAAGCAGAAAGCATTTATAGTTATGCTAGGCTAGACCCATTGTGGTGTTAACTTTGGTCTCCTCTTTAAAAATGAAATTTGCATGGTTTTCCATCGTGGCACCACTAATGAATTCTCTTCTGGAACAACCATTACAGTCCAAAATTTTCTCTATTCGCTTTGAGTAATTTATTGAGATAATAGTTCCAGTACCCCCTCCTCCGTATTCTTCTATGTATATATTTCTGTCTCTTTATGTATCACTATTTGTTGTGAATGTGGTTTTGCTAACATTGCGGCCATCTATGATTATTCTAGTCTTACAAGGAAGACAAATATGGTGTACTATAAAAGAAACTTAGATGTAATTCTTTCAGTCAGGCAGTTGTAAAGATAAAGAAATGCAACATTTTCTAGTTATTTTTGTGCCTTTAGATGTCAAATTTCTAATATCATGCACTAATTGTTGTTTAATTTTTAATACATTAGCCAGTTCAAACTGCATTACTTTGTCCCACCTTGGATCTTCAATCTTGGGTAACTTGTAAGATTGCAATTATGTCTTCAGTTCTTGTCTCTAGAATATTATCCACTTTAAAATTGCACTTTGTTGTAGGAATGGGCATTAAATGCACTACTATTTGTTGATTATATTGTGAGGTTTAATTTTTGCCCTCATGTGATTCCATTATCTCAGGTAAAGTTGCAGTTTACTGTATAAAAGGTGGTATCTTTGGAAATTGAGTAATTCCTTATTACCTGTTAAAGAAGACATGTTTTTGAGACATCCAAAACTGGAAATGTGGACTATAACTTAGGGACAGGGAGGACTATACGTTTTTCTTATTTTGGTGTGCGGACATCTTCTTATTTTTAATTGGAATTTGACATATTACAGAGAAATGAGTATTTACAAAACAATCATCTGTGGAGTTTTTGTGCAAATTATCATATTAACAATTTAATTGAACTCATCTCCAATGCAGTTCCTCCTCTGTTGCTGTCTCTTAACTCGATTTTTTAAAAAAAATCCAGCCCATTTTTTTGATATTGAGCTATCCTTTCCACGTTCTCTTTGTTTGTACTGTGTTCAGCATCGCTATTGATTACCTCTCACTCTAAAGCATATCCAACTAGCAAGATGCATAAGTTACACCAGCTACTAAGTGCTTCTGATTAATAAAAGAAATTTCACTTGATTTGGGCTACTGATTCTGTTTTTCTGATATCTGACATTTCTCTATAAAAAGTTGCCATTTATTCCCTAAAAGATTTTAGGATTTGTCCTACTCCACACCTCAAACAAATCCATTGCTTTCCGTCCATACACATTTTGATGCAAGTTTGTGGGTGTGTGTATGATTACGGTATCACATTATCTTTTATTATGTATGATATTCACAAACTAAAAATGCCATTCCTTGGTCTTGCTCCCCAATAATCGAGGGTGTTGGGAGGGGTAGACTGGAAACATAACCTTTGGCATAACATGCACAAAGTGGCTGCTCTGAACTGGAACCTGAGTTCTAATGCTTGGAAGCTCGAGGATTTTACCAATGCATGAAGAAACAGTCCATGTATACTCACAAATTAAATTTAATGCAGAGTGTGCATGAGTGTGTTCCAGTACATGTGTGCTTGGTCATGGGGTGGATGGGTAAAACCAGAAGATTTTATGAATCTTGTGTTTTGTGTGTTGATAGTACTGGTACATTTGGTGCCTTACGTTCGGACAAAACAAACCCAGAACCAGTTGGACTTCTGCTCAGGGACATATGTTTATGATGTAGTTTTTGGTTGTTGCACTTGCATCATATTGACATTTATTGTTGCACATATGCAGGCTGTTATTGTCCGTCCCTTATCTGCAGTAAACTCTCTTGTTCGATTTGCTGAGGAGCCTCAGATGTTTGCAATCGAATTTAATGATGGATGCCCCATTCTTGTGAGGAATCTAACTTATTCTCAGTTTCTTACTCCATTTTTTTTGGTTGCCTAGTGTTCACTGTGTATGGTTTGGTTTTCAGGTTTATGCTAGCACGTCTCGCGATAGCTTGCTTGCAGCAGTTCGAGATTTGTTGCAAACAGAAGTAGGTAGATGTGCCCACTCCTGGATAATATTTGGCTTTTTTCACTTGTGTGATTATATAGTTCATTAGATTTTTACATTGTGAGAATCAGTTGCTGCACCTTATGAGTTCTTTTGCTGATGGGTAAATTATGTGGTAATGTTTCATAGAATGAGATTCACTTCTGAATTAAACTTGTGTAGGGTCAATGTCCAGTACCAGTACTACCAAGGTTAACAATGCCTGGTCATCGAATTGATCCTCCTTGTGGAAGAGTTCATTTGCAAATTATGCAATTTTCTGTTGGCCAGCGCCCTGTTGCTGACGTGGAAACTGCAACTACACATTTAAAACACTTGGCAGCTTCTGCCAAGGATGCCGTGGCTGAAGGAGGCTCTATTCCTGGATCAAGAGCCAAGTTATGGCGTAGAATAAGAGAGTTCAATGCATGTATACCTTACAGTGGTGTGCCTGCTAACATTGAAGTACCTGAAGTGACTTTAATGGCCTTGATTACAATGCTCCCAGCTTCTCCAAACCTTCCTCCAGAGTCTCCTCCCTTGCCCCCCCCTTCACCTAAAGCTGCTGCAACAGTGATGGGTTTTATTGCATGTTTGCGCAGATTACTAGCATCAAGAAGTGCTGCCTCACATGTGATGTCTTTTCCTGCCGCTGTTGGAAGAATAATGGGTTTACTTAGGAATGGTTCTGAAGGAGTTGCTGCTGAAGCTGCTGAACTTATTGCAGTACTTATCGGTGGTGGTCCTGGGGACATGAATATACTGACAGATACAAAAGGAGAGTGGCATGCTACAATTATGCACACGAAGTCTGTATTGTTTGCGAATAATAGCAATGTTATTATCCTTGTCAACAGACTAAAACCTATGTCTGTATCGCCGTTATTATCAATGTCAGTTGTGGAGGTTCTGGAGGCAATGATCTGTGAACCACATGGTGAAACTACTCAATATACTGTTTTTGTTGAATTGTTACGACAAGTAGCTGGCCTGCGGCGTCGCTTGTTTGCATTGTTTGGACATCCTACTGAAAGTGTAAGGGAGACAGTTGCTGTTATCATGCGTACAATTGCAGAAGAAGATGCAATTGCGGCAGAGTCTATGCGTGATGCTGCTTTGCGTGACGGTGCCTTGTTGCGGCATTTGTTGCATGCCTTCTTTCTTCCTGCTGGTGAACGTCGTGAAGTTAGCCGACAGCTTGTTGCTCTTTGGGCAGATTCATATCAACCTGCTCTTGATTTGTTATCAAGAGTGCTGCCTCCAGGGCTTGTTGCTTATCTGCACACACGTTCAGATGGGGTTCCACCTGAAGATGCACAAAATATGTCCAGTCAAGAAGGATCGTCATTGAGTAGGAGACAGAGACGGTTACTTCAGCAGAGGAAAGGTCGTGCGGGAAAAGGAATAACATCTCAGGGGCCTCCCATGCCCTCAGTTAATAATTTTGAAGTTGATCCAGGACAGCAGACACATCCTGGTACTTTTAAAGGGTTAGATAGTTACCAAAAATCTGCAGTAGATCCAATTTCTGTACAGGTTCCAGCCACGAACTCTTATGCAGTTCATACAGGTGATAACTTGCCTAGTGATTTTTCCTCTACTGGTGCTCCACAAATAGATTATTCAGCAGCTGTGGCTTCACCTGATGTTCCGGCAATGAATACAAATGAGCCTGTTGAATCAAATGCATCAGACTCAGTTGATTCTGATCCAAATGTGGTTGGCTTCCAGAACACAGGCATTCCCGCTCCTGCTCAGATTGTTGTGGAGAACACACCTGTTGGATCTGGTAGGTTACTTTGTAACTGGCCTGAATTTTGGCGAGCTTTTAGCCTTGATCACAATCGTGCGGACTTGATCTGGAATGAGCGGACTAGGCAGGAGTTGAGACAGGCCTTCACCTGATGTTCCGTCAATGAATACAAATGAGCCTGTTGAATCAAATGCGTCAGACTCAGTTGATTCTGATCCAAATGTGGTTGGCTTCCAGAACACAGGCATTCCCGCTCCTGCTCAGATTGTTGTGGAGAACACGCCTGTTGGATCTGGTAGGTTACTTTGTAACTGGCCTGAATTTTGGCGAGCTTTTAGCCTTGATCACAATCGTGCGGACTTGATCTGGAATGAGCGGACTAGGCAGGAGTTGAGACAGGCATTGCAGGCAGAGGTTCATAATCTAGATGTTGAGAAAGAACGCACTGAAGATATAGTTCCTGGAGGTTCAACTGTGGAGATTATGACTGGGCAAGATAGTGTTCCTCAGATTTCGTGGAACTACTCTGAATTTTCTGTTAGCTATCGTAGCTTATCCAAAGAAGTTTGTGTGGGTCAATATTATCTGCGTTTGCTGCTTGAGACTGGCAATAGTGGCAGGGCTCAGGATTTTCCATTGCGTGACCCAGTTGCTTTCTTTAGGGCTCTGTATCATCGCTTCCTATGTGATGCTGACACAGGACTTACTGTAGATGGTGCTGTTCCTGATGAAATGGGTGCATCTGATGATTGGTGTGATATGGGAAGATTAGATGGTTTTGGAGGAGGGGGAGGCTCCTCAGTCAGAGAGCTTTGTGCAAGGGCAATGGCAATTGTATATGAGCAACATTATAAAACAATCGGCTCTTTTGAAGGCACTGCTCATATTACAGTTCTTTTGGATAGGACTGATGATAGAGCTTTGAGGCACCGTCTTCTTCTTCTTATGAAGGTACATCAAAATTGACTTGCTACTTTTTTGCTCCCATTCTTATGCCTGGTTGGTAGATGAGTTCCTTGCTTCACTATTTGTCATTTGTTTATTAATGGCATGAAAGCACTTCTGCTCCTACTCCTATGTGTTGTGATAATCGAAGTGCCATCCAGATTGCTCATAACTCTGTCTTCCATGTTGGTCTAAGCATATTGAGATTGATTGTCATTTTGTGCGTCATAATCTTCAGCCTCTTACTTTGTCCTTGCCATTTGTGCCATCTGCTATGCAATTAGCTGATTTTTTCACGAAGTCTCATACAATTTTGCGCTTTCGTTTTCTGCTTGGCAAACTCTCGATACTATCACATCATGAGTTTGAGGGGGGGTGTTAAGCATATATGTATTTGATATTATTATTTATTATTATGGGTAGTTTAGTCTTTGGTACTTTTAGGGTTTGCTTAGCGTAGATATATATATCTCCTTTGTATTCTTTATTTTTCTAATGCTCAATAAACAATCCTTAGTTTCTTCTAAACTTGTTTATCAATTCATATTATATAATATTATTCACCCAAAAAAATATTGTATAATATAATATATCATAAATAATAAAATTTTTATGCCTAAAATAAAAATAATTTATTTTTATCATATATAATATAATTTATTTTATGCCTAAAATAATTTTTATAATTTTTATTTGTTATTCATATTTTATTTGTTATTTTTTTTGATAAAATTTGTTATTCCTTGGCTTTTTTAAACTCATCTCCCTAAAATAAATATATTTAAAAAGTAACTATTTAATGTATCCCCATACCTGTATCCAATTTGGATCCATATCCACGTATCCTCAATTTTTAATTTTGAAGTGCCCGACCCTTAGATACGCACTAGTCGTGTAACGTAGGTGGTTGGCAAGAATGCATATTGCGTAGTGTACAATGGAATCTTTACTTGCTGCGGATTTTAAAAAAAAGGGAATCTTCTTTTCTTGAGAGTATATCTTGAGCATTTGTGGCACTACAACCACCTCCGTAAACTGTGATGAAGATTCTCTTACATTCTTGTTTCTAGAGTAGGTTTTTGTGCGATGTAGAAGGATGATTGATAAATTCCAGTCTAGACCAGTGAGAAAACCACATTTTCTCTTTGTCCAGTTTGATAGTGTTGAGTTCATAACTGTGTAATAATAGGCTTCTAGCCTAGTGGGTTTTTGACATCGGGTTCATCCCAATTCATTACTGGGTTTAGAAAACCACTGGGCTTGGTACTTCTTTGTAGGAATTTATGTATTATTGATTGATGTTTATTGATATCTATTACAATGATTCATGATTCCTATATATAGAAGAGGGTGAGTGTGTAGTAGGTAAGGAGTAGGTGAAGTGGAGGTGGTAGTGGTGTAGTGGGTTAGGTTTAGTGGAGTAGGTGAGGTGGTAGTGGTGTAGTGGGTTAGGTTTAGTGGAGTAGGTTTAAGTGGGTGAAGTAGGTGGAGAGTAGGTGGATTTTAACATTCTTTATTGTTTACTATCATATTTTCTTTACTGTAATACACACCTCTTATCTTTATTTGTTTTACTTGAGACAGCTCCAAATCATTGTTTCACATCCTTTGTGGTTTGTGTAAGGTTTTCCATCCATTGTACAAAAGTTGCATGTTTCAGTGCAAATCCAATTTATCTAGACAAATGCCCTGGTACCAAATCCAATTTTTCTAGACAAAATGCCCTGGTATCCCTGTTTCCTGTTGTACTTACAAATTTGTCACTTCTGGACGTGTGTACATCGTATGAAAATTGCATTTCTCAAATGCCCTACTACTGAGAGACATAAGTGTTTTGATTGATGAAGACAAAATGAAATTAGTCTGAGAAGTACTTTCAAAATGCCTTGTTACATGGGCAGTATCCAAATTGTAGTATCCGTTAATGAAATGGAAAGTTTGTTTGCATACTCGGTTACCCATTTAAAATACAGAATTGGGGTATCAAAATTATCTGCTAGCTTTCTGCTTTTCTGCAGCCTAGACTCATAGCTACATTTCTCTCTTCTTGTAATAAGGCGTTCAGCTGTGAACTCATCCTACTGGGTATTAGTAGGCTGGTGGTAGGCATATGCAGTTTGTTTCCATCCCTTTCAATATCTATCAAGCTAGGCAAACAGAGTGCTCTTTCCTTTTTGATGAGATTGTTTATTACGTCTTCGGCCAGTACAGTATGTGGCTGGAAATTTGAAGTGGATTCATCAAAACAAATTATTTGTGAGTTTTTGTGGTTATAAAAATGCAGGTCATCTTGATCAATCTTCCTTCTCAAATGAAACTTCTGGCCTGAATAGGCTCGACATGTTTGTCTAATGCTGTTCTAATCTGTACGACCTTCGCCTTTTGATATCGTTACTCTGCATACTCAATATATCATTCACTGTCTGTGCAGGTTTTGATGAAGGTTTTATCAAATGTAGAGGCTTGTGTTTTGGTTGGAGGGTGTGTTTTAGCTGTTGATCTGCTAACATCAGTTCATGAAGCTTCAGAAAGAACTGCTATTCCTCTACAATCTAATTTGATAGCTGCTTCTGCTTTCATGGAACCACTTAAGGAATGGATGTTTATTGACAAGGAAGGTGTACAAGTTGGACCCCTGGAGAAGGATGCTATCAGAAGGTTCTGGTCAAAGAAAGCTATTGTTTGGACAACACGGTGCCGGGCTTCTGGGATGTCAGATTGGAAGAGATTACGAGATATACGTGAACTTCGTTGGGCTCTGGCTGTTCGGGTTCCCGTTCTCACTCCAATCCAGGTATTGTTATTTTACATCACAATTATATAGTGTACTCGTGCTTTCATAGTTAGTTCTTGGTACTTTTTGTAGCATTAGATATTATGATGTAGCACAAAAAAAAATAGAAGAAGAAAGAAGAAACTGGGGAATCACAATCCCAAACCAAATATATCAATATTCATTAATCAATAATCTTATCAATTCTAGTCTAGTCTTAAATCATTACGTAAGTCCTATTTATAGGCATCATAGGGAAACCCTAATAAATGTTACCAAAATTAACAAAACTACAACAATAAAATTCTAATTAAATTAGAACTCCTAATAAATAAAAATTACAAATTCATCAAGTATCAATTTATTTAACTCACTTGCATTCACCATCATAACTGTAACTTTTGCCTACTTTGTGTACTATCCTCATGATCACTGTTAAAATATCATTTTGCATCCAGGTAGGGGAGGCTGCATTGTCCATTTTACACAGCATGGTTTCTGCACATTCAGATTTAGACGATGCCGGAGAGCTAGTTACACCAACACCTAGAGTAAAGCGGATGTTGTCAAGTCCTCGTTGCCTTCCACATATTGCACAGGTGATTTAAAATTTTTTTTTTTTTGCCTCTCAGTTTTTTTCTAGTATTCTAATTATTTTTGTAGACCTGGAATCAATGTATTGCTGGGTGGGTTTGAAAGGTTACATTATTTGTTTATTTTCATCTATCTGTTAATATAGATCCGGGCATAGGCTTTTCATATCCATCTAATATCTGAATCTAGTATTTGATGATTGGCACTGATCCGGGTATTCTTTTCAGCAGCTGTAGAAGGCAGCTTTGATCAGGGGTTTTTTTTTTTTTTCAAGATCTCTAGTTTGTTTTAGTGTTAAATACACTAGCAGCACCATCTCTTACCCAATATTGGTCGCTTGTGGGTGGTTGTTATTATCTAGGGTTTGCCCTACAGGGGTCGGTCCAATGTTATTCTACCTTGGAGGGGTTCCTACTTCCTCATCATATAAAGAATTTGCGTAAAATTGTATAATAGTATGACCTTTCTTGTTGAGCTTGATTTTACAATGTCATTCAAAAAGATGACCGATTTGTCAATGCAATGCATGTCCAACCATAATAGTTTGATGGAGTTGTATGTTCCAACTTCCCCAGGTCTGGAAATTTTACATGCAGACCAATTTATCTTAGTTGCATGAAGTGGAAAGTGGAAGCTGGGTTGGGGTCAAGGGAGTGGGGCACATTAAAGATATGGTTTGGAGTGCTTAGGGGAGCATTAATATATTTTATATATAAATATATTGTAAGAAGTATTATTTGTTGCTTAATTGTAACATATATGTTAAATGTTTACATTACATTATCACTTACATTTGTAAACATAAGAACAGTAACTTCGCATCTTCAATCCTTATGGAAACCAAACTGAAAGATCTATAAAAATATCTTCACCATTTAATTCTTAAGAGGAATGTCAAAATCTAAATAAATATATGGTTAGCCAGATTTTCTTTTGCATTGAAGCTTTTATTTTATTTCTTTGGTACATATGAATGGTCCTATCCTAGTTGGAACCATGGTTCTATCTCGCTAGGAATGTGGTTTTAGAAGGATTTTTTATTTTGAATAGTAGAATCACGGTTATAGAGTGGAAACAATCGCCCCAGTAGGACATTCTTGCAACTAAGCAATTTCTGCCAATTGATTCAAATACTATTCCAGGATTCGCAAAAGTTGAAATGTTCGAGGTGTGGACTATTGTGTTACACCAGTTCATAATATCCTAGGGTATTAGAAGCTTGCAGTCCTTGAAGCCCATCTCTCCACTTAAGCATGGGCTCATTTTTTCCTGGCTGAAGTCTCACACCTCCACGGCTTCTTCCTCTTCCCTGTCCAATTTTGTTCTTCTTGTAAGTTTCTATGGAGGCAAAAGAGATAGCAGAGTTGTGGTCAGCCAGTCAGCAAAAGGGGGGTGGTGCTATGTCAGGGGAGATTCAGGAGAATGATGCAAGGGGAATGAAAATCTGGAGGTGCTTTCCAACAAAAAATTGTCCTTGTTTGGCAGCTCTTGCTCTGGCAGGGATGATACAGGAGGTATATCCTGAAGCAATTTTGGAAGCTAAAGAGAAGCAATGGTCTGAGTGAGTGAATCAGGAACATAAAAGACTTTGTTTCCTGTTTGGGGTTCTTGCATGAAGGTTTTGAGGCAGAGCTAGGGCAGATTTTCGATGCCATTGAGAAAGGTGGAGGGAGCAGGTTTATATTAGAAGTTGGGAGGAGAGGGGCACATCTTCCTCGAGGAAGGATAAAGAATTCAAGATGCTAGAGTTCACTATTAGATATGAGATTTGATGTGTAAACAACAAAGACCGGGCTCCATGAATATTAGCATGGAATATGAGGGGCCCGATAAGAGGAAGGTGGTGAATTCATTACTTAGGAGTTGTAGGGCTGATGTGGTATGTTTAGGTTAGATTTAGAGAATAAGAAATAAAATGGAAGAAGAGAAGAGAGGAGAATAATGTTGTGCTGGAAAAAGAGAGGAGAGAATTGCTTAGTGTAACTCTTATTTATACTAAATGAGTTCAAGGTACAAAAAAACGCCATAGGAAATAATACTGCATAACGTAACTTTCCCCCTCAAGTTGGTGCATACATATCTTTTATGCCGAACTTGTAGATAATGGGGGTGAAAAATCTTACTACAAAGCCCTTTAGTGAATACATCTGCTAACTATCCTCTGACCTCACAAAGGAAATGCAGATTAAACTGTTGCTCAGTTTCTCCTTGATTAAGTGTATCAATCTCAATATGTTTTGTCCAGTCATATTGCACTGGAATGTGGGCAATACTGATGGCGGCTTGTCACAATACAACTTTATAGGTCAATTTTAGCAACACTTGGGAGCCAAAAAAGCTCACAAATACTATGAGCCATTTCCCTGAATTCAGCTTTCCACACTCTGCCTACTTTTTGCTCTGCAGGTAACCAAATTGCCTCCTATAAAGGTACTAACTAGAAGTAGACCTTCTGTCATCAACTGAGCCAACCCAGTCTACATCAATCAATGCTTCCAATATCAAATTACCATGAATGGAGAAAAGTATTCCCTTCCCTAGAGTTGACTTAAGGTACCTCAAAATATGATAGACGGCATCAAGATGCACTATATGAGGAATGATTTATTAAAGCTGATAATTTGTTGATAGATATCAGAGGGATAACCCTTGTGGGTTTCCTGGATAAGGTACCAACTGTTACTTAAAATTGTTTGGCTTGCTAAGAACTACATGTTATACTCTAGTGACTATCCAAGTTGCTATGAAGCTTTTAGTTGGATAAGCTATGCTTTTTCTATTCTCTGGGAAGGACTTGTCAAATTGTGTGAAATTACCATACAGCAAGGGAGTCAATATGTGTCACAACATCGGGAAAGCTCTATGGAGGAACCCTCGGGTACCTGGGCACAACCATAAGCTGGCTTCTATATATTGTAGGGGCCTATATATTGAACGTGTTAATTCTCTTGATCATTGTTTTGAGCTTGTAGTTGCGAAGTATTATTTAGTTTGAACCAGTAGGGAAATTTGTCACAAATTGAAGCCTTATGCCCAAACCATTCTATTTGAAACACACAGACCTATATGTCTACATGTCACAAGTGTATGTCAAAAATGGATGGAAAAATACCACTATTTATATTCTATTTTTTCATTGTTTTGGAATGTAGGCTATGCTTACTGGGGAGCCAAGTGTTGTAGAGGGTGCTGCTGCTTTGCTGAAGGCTGTTGTCACCAGAAATCCCAAGGCAATGATAAAGTTATACAGTACAGGCGCATTTTATTTTGCTCTAGCATACCCTGGTTCTAATCTCCTCTCAATTGGCCAACTCTTTTCTGTGACTCATGTCCATCAAGCGTTTCATGGTGGTGAAGAAGCTGCAGTTTCCTCTTCATTGCCATTGGCAAAACGTAGTGTGTTGGGTGGGCTTCTCCCTGAGTCCTTGCTGTATGTATTGGAACGAAGTGGTCCAGGTGCATTTGCGGCAGCAATGGTTTCTGATTCTGACACTCCAGAAATCATATGGACTCACAAAATGAGGGCTGAGAATCTGATCCGCCAGGTAATTCAAACCTTAAGAGTAAGGTGTATGACTAGTTTGGTTCATTTGCATTCTTATCTAAAGAACATATAATTTAACCCTTTTACTTTTTATTTCTTTCTTTTAGGTTTTGCAGCATCTGGGTGACTTTCCCCAGAAACTATCCCAACATTGCCATTCTTTATATGATTATGCTCCTATGCCACCAGTGACTTATCCTGAGTTAAGGGATGAAATGTGGTGTCACCGTTATTACCTGCGAAACTTGTGTGATGAGATTCGATTTCCAAATTGGCCAATTGTTGAACATGTTGAGTTCCTACAGTCATTGCTGGTAATGTGGCGTGAGGAGTTGACACGGAGACCTATGGATCTTTCTGAAGAAGAAGCTTGCAAAATTCTAGAAATATCCTTGGATGATGTATCTAGAGATGATGCCAGCAGCAAACATTCTGTAGAGATGGCTGAGGAGATTCCTAACATATCCAAACAAATTGAGAACATTGATGAAGAAAAACTAAAGCGACAATACAGAAAACTTGCGATGAAATATCATCCAGACAAAAATCCTGAAGGGAGGGAGAAGTTTCTTGCTGTGCAGAAAGCTTATGAACGTCTGCAGGTATACATTGGCTTCTGGTTCTACTATTAAAAACTTCTGGTTTGGTATTGTGGAAAAACCTCCAATAACCTTGAATTTTTTCATCTTGAAACTTTTTACAAACTGATGACAATGCCTGTTTTACCAAGATTTGGTTTTGGTTAACAATGGCAAGAATTGATTTAAGTGTTCGAATGTCTGGGCTTTGTGTCAATGTTTGAGTTGTATTTAGTAATAGATACCTCAATTTATGGATGTTTGGTTGGTTATTTTAAAGTATGTTGAGACTCAATCTGTGGAAGTCTCAATCATCTATTGACCAATTTTATGTGTTTTTTCTTTTTGTGTGCATGCGTGCGTAATGACCTCATATGTACTGAGTGGATTACATTTTGTTTTTATAAATTTGTTGTTGTTTTTTTTTTTTTTTTGGAGCCCAAAATAAAATCCAGACAAAAAACTTGTAGTGAACCCTCTTTTTTCTTTTTTACTATTCTCATTTGGGAAGTACCACGAAATGCCACTAAAAAGAAAAACAATTTGCAGTTTGAAGACATCACATAGGTATTTATTTATCCAAAATGTGTTACCCTTGCCCACCTTTGATTCTCCTCTGGAAAAATTTAATCTGGTGGATCTAAGAGTGTGTGCATACTGTGTAGACCCCTTTCATGGCATGTTGCATATGTATTGCAGCATCAGGGGCCATTTGACTGGTATCAATAATACACAAACTGTCTTTGACTGACAGATGAGGTCTACTATTCTCACATCACTCTCTACTTTTCTATACATCTTTTCGTAAAAAGTCAAAAAGTTACTAAAATAGCTTGTTCCCAAACGAGGCCTTAGTATTTTTCAATCTCCTTAAACAACATAAAAGCTTAATAGTGTTCAGATAAAGGTATGAAATCATGCATTTAGGCCCATCTTGCTAATTTTTCTAGCTGTTCATCTCTTAAAATTGGTTTGTCAAATCCATAAATTAGGATGTTTTTGAAGTATGGTAGATTTCTGACTTTGATTGATATCATGTTACCTAGAACAGTGAAGCATATCCAACTTATCTGGAATTCAAAATATGGCCTTTTGGACAGAATGGTTGGTTAGGACGACAGCTACATATTTTTTTCTTGATACTTTTGGACTGAAATTTTTTAAGAAAGATATTTCTAACAAATTTTCCCCCTGTACCAATACATAAGTGGTAGCTTACACTCAAAACTCACAATCTCAAAACTAAACGACAGTATTTTAGAGAATTGGCCATTAAATGATGAGTAGGCTGCATGTGGGTTTTATTTTGTCCGCTACCTTGTTTTTCCAAGAACAAAGCAAGTTCTATGAATACTGACAAATTTTACATCAACCTTGACAATTAAGGCTAATTGTATTGGGAAAACTCTATTCATACATATAATTTATACAAAAAACACCACAAGAATGAATACTGGCAAATTTACTTAAGGTAATTATATTTTCCTTGTGCATTGTTGTTGAACCAAGTCTATTTATTGTTTGAAGATATGGCACGACTTTTTAAATCTTGTAGGCTTGTAGATATGATATTTATGGCTTTAAAGTCTTAATGTTTGACAATCAACGTTCTCTTACCATTTCGGAAATGATTATTTATTAGGCTACCATGCAAGGGTTGCAAGGTCCCCAACCATGGAGGTTGCTGCTACTATTGAAGGGGCAATGCATTTTGTACAGACGATATGGGTATGTATTGGAGCCATTTAAATACGCTGGATATCCCATGCTGTTGAATGCAGTCACCGTGGACAAGGATGACAACAATTTTCTTGCTTCTGATAGAGCACCTCTCCTTGTTGCAGCCTCAGAGCTCATTTGGCTGACGTCAGTCTTCTTGCTATCATTGATTTTTCTTGTTAGATATTTTGGTTTTTTTTTAATTTCTATTTTGACTGATAAATTTGAAGTCTTTTTACTCCCATGTTTTAGGTGTGCATCTTCTTCACTTAATGGTGAAGAGCTTGTGAGAGATGGTGGAATACAGCTTCTTGCTACTCTTCTCTCCCGTTGCATGTGTGTTGTTCAGCCAACAACCCCTGCAAGTGAACCGTCTGCCATTATCGTTACAAATGTGATGCGGACATTTTCTGTCTTAAGTCAGTTTGAAAGTGCCAGAGCTGAGATACTTGAATTTTCTGGACTAGTTCAGGACATTGTTCACTGCACTGAACTTGAGCTTGCACCTGCTGCTGTTGATGCTGCCCTTGAGACTATTGCGCGTGTTTCTGTCTCCTCTGACTTACAAACAGCCTTACTAAAGGCTGGTGTGTTATGGTAAGTTGGTTCATTTCATTGCTCTGTTTTTCAGCTGTATCATCTATAGTGCCTTTATGCTAATGCTGTAGGTTTAACAAATTGATTGTTCTGCTGCCAGTCCAACCTGTTTTCTCCCTCCTGTTAACACCTTTATCTTGCTCAACACTACGACTCTGCAGTTTTTGTTTTTCTTCCCAAACGATCATCGTGTCATAGTTTGTTCCTCTACACCTTTCTATCTTTTTTTTGTAGCTGCTTTTTGGCTCGTCCATTGACATCATGGCGGCTAGTGCTTCCTAAGTGGAATCTGGTCCTAATGTTCCCTTTGGTGATTCTAATTAGAATAGTGAAAGTGGGCACCGTTAACAGCACTTGAGGAGAACACTTCAATTTATGGACAATGGAGGTCAAATAGGCGTCTGGGGAATAATCGTGGCAGCTTTCTGAACAATTGGTTCCATGATTGAGAACTCTCTGTCCTAGTGCTCTCAAATTGTTTTGTAGAGCAATGTTTTTCATTTTCTTAGTAACTACAAAGCTGCATAGTAAAATATTTTAGACAAACTTATCTTGCTATGAAAAGATGGCATTCCCTTTCATGCTTAAGCTGTGTAGTAAAATATTTTAGACAAACTTATATTGCTATGAAAAGATGGCATATCCTTTCATGTTTGTCAAGTATTTTATGACCAGCAACTTTTCTTTCTATAAACTTTAATCATCCTCTTTAACAATGTCATACAGTAGTGCACTGTGCAGCTTTAAGCATTAATGATGCAGAGTAGGACAAAAAGAAGAGGGGCAGATTCTAATCTCATTATAACTTGCTTGGGGTATCACATTATCAAGCTTAGGACTGAACTTGAGTCTTTTTCTTTTTCTTTTTTTCAAATGTTCACGCGAGTTAGTTTACTTTGTGTATACTTCCATTTTTGTTTAATTGTTTTATGACCGTAGTTAGTTTGGAAATTTAATGACAGATGCAGGCTATCCTGCAGATCCATGGATCTTATTTTGGGTTAAGTTGTGTTAAGCAATCTTTACAAGTGTTCTCCTGCTTCTCTAAAATGTTCTTAGTGGTCAAAGTATGAAAGTTTCCTATTTGGAAGTCATATTCTTGAGAAGCTATTAAGATTTATGTCTACTGTTTTTTTAACCTCCAGGGTCTGAGGTGTTTGGTAATGTTTTCAAAATTTTCATTTTTTCTGTTTGTGTTTTTGAAAAACGTATACAATTGGAAGTTCAAAAACACCCGTCTTTTTCATATAGTTTTCATTTTGTGGCAAAAATCAGCTTGTTTGGTTCTGGTTTTAGAAAACAATTTTTAGAAAATTCTACTTTTTTATTTTCCGTATTTTAATGTTTTCAATGAATTTTTTTAATATTTTAAACAATTTTTTTTAAAAAAAAATATTTTAGACACACCTAACATAAATACACTTAAAAAAGTATAATATTTGTGAAAAAAATCTCTAAAAAATACACTAAATACCAAAAAACACAAAAAAAAGAAAAAAGAAAAAAGAAAATTCAGTACATTTTTCGTATTTTTGTGTATTTATTAATTTTTAAAATATTTTTTCACAAATATTTTACTATTTAGATACATCTAAGTAAGGTGCATCTAAAAAAGTAAAAAAAATTACTTAAAATTTTAAAAATATTCACAAATACGAAAAACAAAAAATCCAATTTTCAGAAAACTGAATTCAGAAAACTAAAACCAAACATATTGAATGGTTTTTGAAATTCAAAAAGCAATATAAAATTGTCATAAAAAAGGAGTGTTTTCAGAAGGCTTTTGCAAAGCAGTTTGCCAAACAAGTTCTTCATTTCAGTTCTCTTTTCTTTTGTTCAATTTTTCGAGAAAAGAAAACAAAGACAATATTAAACACTCCCTAAGCAATTCTTTGTTTCTTTCCTTAAAAACTAGACAGGTTGGTGTTTGTAGGTAAATGTTCATGCTCTCAAACAGCCCATACCTCATGCCCAAACTCTGACTTACCAAGCTCACAACAACCTCAACTCTTTCACTAATTGCCTTTGATTTAGCAACTAAGTGCTAAATACTTAAAACTAGAATAGAACAATGTTAACTGTCCATGAGCAGTAGAATTGTGTTCCCTTCAAGCTCTTACTTCTGAGCTATGTCAAGTTGTCCAGGTTCCTATCCAGGGAGTCTGAAGTTTGACTCCCCCTCAGTTTGCCCAGTTCCTAGGCTTAAGAGGTGGCCTCTGAATCCCAAGTTTACATGCCCAGGCTGAGTTATCGATTATGAAAAAAAAAAAACAAAAATTGAAGTGCCACTACCCTCTGATTATCTGCATTTGAACTGCCAAGACAATATTTTTTGTTTCAGAAAATTGCTTCTAATTCTCTCCTTAGTTGTAATGCTGAACTTAGAGAACTATGAACATATATCTTATTTATAGTTAGGATAGAAATCTTATATAATTTCTTTTTAGAAGAACAAACGAACGAGCAATAGCACATGTGGGAGATTCTATTTTCACACCACACTTTGTCTCGGTACACACCATTTGTGTCATTCGGATATCAACTTTCGAACAAAATACAAATGTTCGGATATCTACTTTCAAATTAAAATTAATCGTTCTAACAAAAATCCCGTTCCCGTTCAATAGTTGATATCCGAACATTTGTATTTTGTTCGAAAGTTGATATCCGAACGGCACAAATAGTGTGTACTGAGACAAAGTGTGGTGTGCAAATAGAATCTCCCAGCACATGTATAGCACAAATGTGTGATGGACATAGTTCCAAGTTTGCATAATCAATTTTAGTCCTAGTTTCTGAAAGTAATTAGATAGCTAATGTGCATTTGCATTATACTAAACTTCATTATCTGTGTACAAGTTGAAGCAAATCACTTTCAATTAGAACTATCCAATCTCATGCCAACTATGTTGTTTATATGAGCACACTCCAAGCATGCTAAATTTTGGATATGTAGTGTGCTGTCTTCTTATTTACTGTCCACATGCTAGAACTATCCATGATCTTATCAAGGTTTCTTTTGGGGCTTGAATTGAGTTGGTTTCGACACTCCTGCTACCCCATTGCTATGATATTTCTTTGCTATCCTAATATTATTCATTTTCTTTGTTCTGGTTGTTTGTTTGATATATGAATTGTGGTTATTAAGCACAACTATCCAAATGGCAGTTATGATACATGGAATCTCTTTTAATCCTGCATTATTATACAAACTAAGTTTCTGATATTAAATTTGGTAATTTTTAGGTTCCTTTTGCCGTTGTTGCTCCAATATGATTCAACTGCGGAGGACTCTGACGTGACAGAGGCACATGGTGTTGGTGCTAGTGTTCAAGTCGCGAAGAATTTTCATGCTATACTGGCGTCTCAGGCTTTGTCAAGGCTTAGTGGTTTGGGTACAAATGATAGTTCAACACCATATAATCGGGCTGCAGTTGATGCCCTCAGAGCTTTGCTGACTCCTAAACTTTCCAGTATGCTAAAAGATCCATTACCAAAAGAACTATTGTCTAGATTAAACGCCAACTTGGAGTCACCAGAGGTAAGTGCTGCGTTTTTGTTTTTCCCTTCATCTGCCTGCATGCTCCTTTACATGGTAAGGGATGCTATGATGTATGTATGACCAGTTGCAAGACAAGAGTAGTCTGCCCCCAGCTCTTAAGGGATGTGGCTCCCTCGTATAGAAGGTTAGAGTTCAAACTGGCTGTACGGGATAAGATGGACTACTTTCTAAGCAATAGTTTAGTGAATAATGTTTAGGAGCCACCGACTATCATATACAGCCCATGTTGTCTGATTGAGATACTGTTCTGAGGTCTTTCCTTTTTTTTCTTGTCATTTTTGCTTGCTTAGTTTACTGGATTTTGAGAGTACTTCTCTTCTTGGTGGTGTAAAAACGGTTCTTGCAGCGAGTGCTATCACATTTTTTGCATTAGGAAAGTTAGCCTAGAATGTCAGGTGTTGAATTGTTGAATTAGTTATTTGAGAGATAAGCTTAGTGTTGTGTTAAATTTTATCTGCACTCAGTCTACTTGTTCATTGTCTTATGGATAACTTTTGTTCTTTTTGGGAAGTATAGTTTTAACCTTGTGATATTACTGATTGTTTTGTGAAACACATCCAAGGGCCAAAAGTTGTGTTGTGTATAAACTGTAAAAATAGTTTCATTTAACAATTCATCTCAATTGTTTGTTGTGATCTGGTTAAGGCTTAGAGGCACTCTATGATTCCCTAGGGTGATAATCACAGTTTGGATGAGATGATCTTGAATACTGGGGTGTTTAAAAGCTTAAATATGATGCCAATAGAAAATTGATGGCTCCAAAATAATGATACCTGTTCAATTGCGTGTGTAGCTATTCTATGGTATAGCACGTATTGCATCCTTATCTTTTTTAGAGGTGAGGTGGTGACCTTCATTCAATTTTTTATTTATATGAATTTATCAATCTCTTCTGGTTGCAGATTATTTGGAACTCCTCAACACGAGCAGAATTATTAAAATTTGTGGACCAGCAGCGTGCAAGCCAAGGTCCAGATGGTTCATATGACCTGAACGATTCACATGTCTTTGTTTACGAAGCACTATCGAAAGAACTATTTGTTGGCAATGTGTACTTGAGGGTCTATAATGATCAACCAGATTTTGAGATTAGTGAACCGGAAGCCTTCTGTTTTGCACTTGTTGATTTTATATCATGTCTAGTGCACAATCAGCATTCTACAGATTCAGGTGGTCAGGTGATTGAATCATCCCCAGAGACAACTAAGGTTGAATCATCCCCAGAGACAACTGAGGTTCAAACCAATTCTGCCAATGGATCAATGAATGGACAGCATGTTGCTGATGATTCTTCAGCAGTCTCTGATGGAAAAGTGATGAGCAATGAGGAATTAGAACTTGTTAAGAAACTTCAATTTGGATTAACTTCTCTTCAGGTGCACGGCTGATTGGCTTATATTGAGCTATTAAGTGACCTTCTCTTTCTTTCATTTTTCTTTCTGCAATACACAATTGATCTATTTACTCAGGTATCTTTGTGGTATTATTGCAGAACTTACTGACGAGCGACCCAAAGTTGGCATCTGTATTTTCTACTAAAGAAAAGCTGTTACCACTGTTTGAATGTTTTTCTGTTCCTGTTGCATCTAAAAGCAACATTCCTCAACTTACTTTGATTGTATTTTCGCTCTTGACGGCACATGCTCCTTGTTTGGAGGCTATGGTTGCAGATGGATCTAGTCTTCTGCTTTTGTTACAAATGCTTCACTCTTCACCTAATTGTCGTGAAGGGGTGCTTCATGTTCTTTATGCCTTGGCAAGCACTCCAGAACTAGCTTGGGCAGCTGCCAAGCATGGTGGAGTGGTGTACATTCTCGAACTTCTCCTTCCTTTGCAAGGTAAACTATTTGTTTTTCTTTCTATTAACAGTAACTTTTCAAAAAGTTATTGAAAAATGGAATGACTTTTTGCAGAGGAAATTCCCCTACAGCAAAGAGCAGCAGCTGCCTCTTTGTTGGGCAAGCTTGTTGGGCAGCCAATGCATGGGCCCAGAGTGGCCATAACACTTGCAAGGTTTCTGCCTGACGGCCTAGTATCTGTTATTAGGGATGGACCTGGTGAAGCTGTTGTGTCTGCACTTGAACAAACAACAGAGACTCCAGAGCTTGTATGGACTCCGGCAATGGCAGCTTCTTTGTCTGCACAAATTGCAACCATGGCATCAGATCTATATCGTGAACAGATGAAAGGTCGTGTTGTTGATTGGGATGTACCTGAGCAAGCATCTGGTCAACAAGAAATGAGAGATGAACCACAGGTATCATTACTTCTGCATCTGCTTCATAAAAAAAATGTGTTCATGCTCATTGCTAATCAAAATTTTGTGGTGATGTAGGTTGGTGGAATCTATGTCAGGCTATTTTTGAAAGATCCTAAATTTCCTCTTAGAAACCCAAAGAGATTTTTGGAAGGACTATTAGATCAATATCTATCGTCCATTGCTGCCACGCATTATGACCAAGCTGTTGATCCTGAGCTTCCTCTGCTTCTGTCAGCTGCATTGGTGTCGTTACTGCGAGTACACCCTGCACTCGCAGATCATGTTGGGTATCTTGGATATGTGCCAAAACTCGTGTCTGCAGTGGCCTATGAAGGAAGACGAGAAACAATGGCATCTGGGGAGACGAAAAATGGCAGCTATGCTGATGGAACATATGAAACCGAGGACAGTTCGATGCAGCCAAGTTCACCAACTCCACAAGAACGTGTGCGCCTCAGTTGTTTACGAGTTCTGCATCAACTTGCAGCAAGTACTACTTGTGCTGAAGCTATGGCGGCGACCAGTGTAGGAACACCTCAGGTATGTGTGTATTTGTTCTGTTTCTCCTTAAATTGGTTTTTGATTATGAATTTTATTGTCTTTTTTGGTATGTGAAACTGGTGATTGCCATGTGCTGCTATGTTGAATTGTGTGCTTAAAGATGCTATTTTAACATGCATGCAAAATTTGTTCTTTTCATTTCTTTGTTGAGTATTTTTTTCAATGCATACTGTGGACATCGTTTATGTTATGTTCCCCTGTAATAGATTTCATTAGTTTGTTTTGGTACCATTAGAAGATTTCTGTGCCTTGTAGATTGCATTAAGTTCTTCTCTGATGCTTTGATTATGTATGTATAATCATTTTGGTTGCTTCAGTGTGACCAACAGGCTTCCCTTCTTTTTCTTCTTTTTTCTCTTCTTTTTCCTTTCCGTTTTGTGTTGTCTTTTTTGGGTGCCGATGCTGGGTTTTTACGTTCATGGAAGAATGTTCTCAGTAAAAACACATTGTCAGTTATGTGGAGAGCTGTGAATGTGTATGTATTTTTCCATCCATTCATTCACTCCTGTTGCTCTTGCTTTCAGGTTGTTCCGCTTCTAATGAAAGCTATTGGATGGCAAGGTGGAAGCATACTAGCTCTGGAGACACTAAAGCGTGTTGTGGTTGCTGGAAATCGAGCTAGGGATGCACTTGTTGCACAAGGACTTAAGTGAGTAGCACACAAAATTCATTAGCAACTTTATATATGTATAAATATTTATCAGCATTAGTTTATTCACTGTTCTATTTTTTATATGTTCCCATCAGAATGTGTTTGCCTTTATGAATCCCAGACTGTAAAAGCATTTATTTGCATCTACACAAATATCAATCACATGCAGACCCGTAGGCATAATCTGCTCTCTGCCTGTGCTTACGTTTATTTTCTGTCCCTACCAAATATTAATTAATAGTAAATAGTTCTTTTAACAAAAAATATAATAAATGGTCAAATTGGTTGTTTGTTGTTGATTTTAATACGCTTGATTAGAACAAGAAATGGAGGGAAAATAAATTTTTTACCTGGAAGAACATAAGGTTCATTTGGCCCCTAATATGATAATCTATGATTGGATTCCTGGGATTGCTTTGATTAGAGAAGAAAATTTCTGATATTGTTATTAATAAAAATTGCCTTGTCTTATAAGAAAATGGTTGTATACTTTTTGTAATACTTAATTCTTTTGGAACAAATTGTGGTGAATCTTCAGGGTTGGTCTTGTTGAGGTACTTCTTGGCCTTCTTGATTGGAGGGCTGGGGGAAGAAATGGACTTTGCTCTCAGATGAAGTGGAATGAATCCGAAGCATCCATTGGGCGGGTGCTTGCTATTGAGGTTGGTGTATTTGTTTTGTAATAAATAAATAAATAAGCCATCTGTATTTACTGTTTACATGTCTGACATCCGTTTTCTGGTGCATGTAATCTTCTTATTCCATTTAATAAATGATTGTTCTCTTATTTTTTAAGATTTGTGTAAAATTTTACAGAGTTTCTGTTTACCTTGGAGCTTGTAAAGTTGGGTTTTCATGCCCATGTACACAGGATGAAGTTCACTAAAATGATTTTCTCTTCATTGGTCTTCCTGTGAGATGCATCCGTTTTAGTTTCTATTGTTAGAATTTCCCATCATTGTAAGGAGAAACACCATGTACTCTAGTAAAGATGTTTTAATTTCTGAATTTAATCATTGTTTTTGGTCTTGCAATGACACCTTTACCTTACAATTCCTTTTTTTAAAAGCTGGATTTAAGTCTTTTTGAGCATAATTGCATCCGTTTTAGTTTCTATCATGGGGAATTATTATTATTGTAAGGAGAAACACCATGTACTCTAGTAAAGATGTTTTAATTTCTGAATTTAATCATTGTTTTTGGTCTTGCAATGACACCTTTACCTTACAATTCCTTTTTTTAAAAGCTGGATTTAAGTCTTTTTGAGCATAATTTTGTTAAAATTTATTTAACCAACTATTCATGTAGTAAGGCAAAGGAATACTATCTAGTTGATATTGGCTTGTTAGCTTCCTTTATTTTTTACTGTAGATGAACAGCAACAGCATGAGAGTGAATAATTTCCTGACTCCATGGTTTTTGTGACCTTACATACTCTAAATATGTGCAGGTTTTGCATGCATTTGCAACGGTAAGGAGAAACACCATGTACTCTAGTAAAGATGTTTTAATTTCTGAATTTAATCGATGTTTTTGGTCTTGCAATGACACCTTTACCTTACAATTCCTTTTTTTAAAAGCTGGATTTAAGTCTTTTTGAGCATAATTTTGTTAAAATTTATTTAACCAACTATTCATGTAGTAAGGCAAAGGAATACTATCTAGTTGATATTGGCTTGTTAGCTTCCTTTATTTTTTACTGTAGATGAACAGCAACAGCATGAGAGTGAATAATTTCCTGACTCCATGGTTTTTGTGACCTTACATACTCTAAATATGTGCAGGTTTTGCATGCATTTGCAACGGAGGGGGCCCATTGTACTAAAGTGCGTGAACTTTTAAATGCATCCAATGTAAGTCCAAACTCTCATTGCATGTTCTTCATTTCTTTCTAATTGTTCATTCATGCTTATGGTTACTACTGCTATGTACTAGTGTGTTCGGGAATGTTATATTGTTCACCCGTGTTATTACTTTCATTGCATCACCACAAATAGGGATTGATTTGGGGTTGCAGTGAGAGCAAGATTCTTTGTTCTCAATCTAAAATTCTTTAAAATAGAAATGAAAGAAACTCTCACGTGATCTTGTTTTATGGGTAAATTACAAATAGCCCCCCTTGAGGAGATTTATTACAAATACTTCTTACACCATCAAGTTCTAGAAGAAACTATAACCAGGCCATTGAGGTTTTCAATCTATTATAGCCCCCTTGAGGAGATTTATTACAAATACTTCTTACACCATCAAGTTCTAGAAGAAACTATAACCAGGCCATCAAGTTCTAGAAGAAACTATTGCAAATGCCTTTTTGCTAGTCAATTTTTAAGTCAAATAAATAGAATTCATGATATCTGCAACCAATTTTTTTTAATTCCTATTTTAACCTTAGAGAGGCATAATATTTTTTTGGGCAAATTACCAAGACCCCATTGAGTTTTTGCCTAAAATACAACTGTGCCCACTAGTTTTGGAAATTACCATCACCTGGTGTTGGACAAATGAGAAAATTACCTTATTACCCTTCATCCTTAAAAATAAAATTACTGAATTGTTTTATCCTCCTCATGCACCCAAACCTCCACTGCCATCACCGTGGCCAAGCAACCACCTGTGAGAATATATTAGCATATATTCTATAGGAAAATTATCTTCTATATTAGGCATGTATGATTATAGACTATGAAGCACGGACACGGACACGGACACGGACACGGACACGCATACGGACACGGACACGCATACGGACACGGACACGGACACGGGACACGGCAATTTCTAAAAAATGGGGACACGGACACGGACACGGTAGGGGACACGGCAAATTTTTTAATTTTATTTATAAATATTTTTATTTTAATACATATTAATTATTTTATTTATTTATTATATTTTTTAAATAATGTGTTCCAATTAATTGTTTTATTTTATTTTCATACATGTGCTTATTTTTTTCATTTATTAATATGTATAAGTATATATTATCTTATACTATGTTATATAATAACTATTATATAATAGTTATAATATATAATAATAATAGTTATTATATATGAGTATTATTATATAATAATAATAGTTATAATATATAATAATAACTAATATATATGAGTATTATTATATAATAATAATAGTTATAATATATAATAATAATAGTTATTATATAATATATGATGAATCAGAAGAGGAGAAGATAAAGACGGGAGAGAACCGAGGGAGGCAGACGGAAGCAAGACAGAAGCGCGAGAGAGGGAGGCGATCGCGATCGCGATCGCGATGGCGATGGAGAGAGAGGATCGCGATCGCGAGGGAGAGAAAAAAGGCGAGAGAGAGAGAGAGAGAGAGTTCTGAGACGACAAAGGGGCGAGAGAGAGAGAGAGATCTGAGAAGGCAAAGGCGAGAGACAGAGCTCGTCGAAGTCAAATGGGGCTCTGGATCGTCGCTGATCAGGTTTGTACTCGTTTTTCCTTTCATTTTACTCTTGTCGCTGTGTCGTTGTGTCCATGGCGTGTCCAGATTTGGACACGCGTGTCCCCGCAGTGTCTCTTCCGTATCCCCTGTAAAAAAATAAATTAAATTAAGGGGACACGCCAGATGCCGTGTCCCGTACGTGTCTCCGGCGTGTCCCCGTGTCCCCGGCGTGTCCCCGTATCCGACACCCCCACGGCTTCCATTTTGGCGTGTCCATGCTTCATAGGACCTGGATACCCATACTTGAAGATCATAAGGAAACAAACACAAAAACATGGATCTTGGCATGAACTTTCGGATCAAAACATGACTTTTCTTGAAGAACACATGAATACTATTTTCTCTTTCTAAAACCGAACTTCAAAGCAATGCATGGCTTACAAATCATATTCAATCATGCAATGCAATAACATGAACATAAAGAACAACATGAGCAGATCAAGAATCTAACCTTAGAACACGAATCTAACGGTTCGATCTCTAGGGATCAAGCTTGCAAATCTACTCTTCCTCAAGAACTCCTCTCCCCCTTCTAGAGCTTCTCTCTCTACTCTTCAAAACAAGATACAACAAATGAGGGGTTTCTCTCTCTGCCAGCTGACTTAACTCTCAGCTCGGACACGTGGCAACGGTTGGTTGGTTCTCTTCAAAAAGGTGATAGATTGACAAGACAAGGCCCTGACAAGGCGTATCTAGCAAGCTACTCGAAATGGCACTTCGGCAAGGGGTGACATCGGCTAACCACAAGACTTCGGCAACTAGGGTGACAATGACCTCGGCTAGGAAGGACAACACTTGACTAAGCTGTGCCACACCTCGGCCTAGATGTGCCACACCTCGGTCTAGGTCATACCACTCCAGGACAAGATCAATCAGGTGCATGGGTAACATCTCGGCCTATATAATACACATCTCGACCTTGGTGATTCATACCTCGGCCTAGATAATGACATCTCGGCCAGTATGTCAAATCAAAGATGGAGGTCAACAAAGGGGTTCCAAGATACTTCTAGACTGAGGATGACCTCGGCTTGGAATGATCTAGGCATATCGTAACCTAGGCTTGGCATAACAGGAAAGGGACAAAGCATGCAAGCAATACTCAAACACTTCACAAACATACAAA